CATGTCAAAGGGTTGGCTGTAACATGTCAAAGGGTTGGCTGTAACATGTCAAAGGGTTGGCTGTAACATGTCAAAGGGTTGGCTGTAACATGTCAAAGGGTTGGCTGTAACATGTCAAAGGGTTGGCTGTAACATGTCAAAGGGTTGGCTGTAACTTGTCAAAGGGTTGGCTGTAACATGTCAAAGGGTTGGCTGTAACATGTCAAAGGGTTGGCTGTAACATGTCAAAGGGTTGGCTGTACGGTCAAAGGGGTTGGCTGTAACATGTCAAAGGGTTGGCTGTAACATGTCAAAGGGTTGGCTGTAACATGTCAAAGGGTTGGCTGTAACATGTCAAAGGGTTGGCTGTAACATGTCAAAGGGTTGGCTGTAACATGTCAAAGGGTTGGCTGTAACATGTCAAAGGGTTGGCTGTAACATGTCAAAGGGTTGGCTGTAAACATTGTCAAAAGGGTTGGCTGTACATGTCAAAGGTTGGCTGTAACATGTCAAAGGGTTGGCTGTAACATGTCAAAGGGTTGGCTGTAACATGTCAAAGGGTTGGCTGTAACATGTCAAAGGGTTGGCTGTAACATGTCAAAGGGTTGGCTGTAACATGTCAAAGGGTTGGCTGTAACTTGTCAAAGGGTTGGCTGTAACATGTCAAAGGGTTGGCTGTAACATGTCAAAGGGTTGGCTGTAACATGTCAAAGGGTTGGCTGTAAACATGTCAAAGGGTTTGGCTGAACATGGCAAGGGTTGGCTTGTAACATGTCAAAGGGTTGGCTGTAACTTGGCAAAGGGTTGGCTGTAACATGTCAAAGGGTTGGCTGTAACATGTCAAAGGGTTGGCTGTAACATGTCAAAGGGTTGGCTGTAACCTTGTCAAAGGGTTGGCTGTAACATGTCAAAGGGTTGGCTGTAACATGTCAAAGGGTTGGCTGTAACATGTCAAAGGGTTGGCTGTAACATGTCAAAGGGTTGGCTGTAACATGTCAAAGGGTTGGCTGTAACATGGCAGTAATTACTGGCGACTAGTTTCTGGATCTCAGTCATTTATTGTGAAATATTATACAGTGTATAACTAGAAACATATAAACACATAGAAAAGTCAAAAAGTCAGTCAACAGTATTCATGATGAACGCCTGAGATAAGATGAGACTTTATTTATCCCGGAGGAAATGGTTGATCCAGAATGACAGAATACTAAACACAGCATGATGATGATACAGAGCAGAGAGCAATGGCATCTCTACAGGAACACACGGTCTCAGAGTCAATGTAAATATTAACAGTAGTGCAAAAACACCTAGTGGCAGACATGTCAGAGCACGCTGTCATCATCATCATCATCATCATCATCATCATCATCATCATCATCATCATCATCATCATCATCATCATCATCATCATCATATTATTGCACATGTTGGAGCAGCGAGTGTTCAACTTCTCACCCTGAGCACACAGTGCTGTGACAGAGTCTCAGTAACACCTCAGTCATCTCAGGACGGGTTCCTCTGCAGGCTTCTTTTTTCTTCTGTTGTTGATGCATCAGGAGGCGTGCCGGGCCGGGCCGGGCCGGGCCAGCAGTCTCAGAGGCTCCATGTGATCCTGCAGGGGGGGGGTCGCTCTAAAACAACACTTCCCCACCACCCAGGCTGCATTTGAGAGCTTCTCTTCCTCCGCTGCAGACACAGGATTTAGCTTTTTCCTCCGCTGCTACCTTTTGGGATATTTCCATTACCGGACAGTGACGGGCTGCTGCGGCATGGGCGACGCGCAGTCTGCGCACCGCGACGCTGAAGCGGCAGAGGAGCGGAGCGGGGACGCGCGGGACGATGAGCAGGAAACTGGAGACAAGGTATCTGATCATCACTCACTGAAACACTGCTGTGCTGCTGCAGAGAACCCTTCACTGCCTCATGTATCTGTTCAGAAAGCGGAGAGGAGGTATGAACAGTCCTGTATGCTAATGGCCGCATGTCGTGGAGTGAGAAGGTATCCGTAGACCTTTCTATGAGACAACTTTGTTTACCTAAGAGGTCTTTAGCCATGGTACATACATACTTCAACACATACTCAGTATCACTCCGCGCCACATCAGTAACATCCTGATAGATATCTGATCATCACTCACTGAAACACTGCTGTGCTGCTGCAGAGAACCCTTGACTCTCTTATAGCTGCAGTGGTGATGTTCAGCATGGTGTTAAAGCTAGAAGCAGTCAGTGCAGAGCAGAGATGCTGCTGAGGCTGCTGAGGCTGCTGCCAGCAGGACAGAGCAGCTGCCAACACATGCATTGACCCTGAGATGTGTTCAAACTAAGTCCTTGCATGTTTGGGTGCATCGAGCACAAGAGGCTCTTTCTAAAAGTAGCTGACTCTTATTCTGTGGAATTGAAGGAGCTATGCTTTCCTGACTTTTCTATGTGAGTTTGAACCTCTCTTCATGGTTTCATTGATGCAGAGCAGTTTGCATTTAAAGGGTAAAGTGTGCCGAGTGACCTCTCCTCTGAGGAGCCTGTGAGGCCCCGGGGACATCTGGGGTTCCTCTCTCATCGATGTGTTGTTCTGCAGAAGAGAGCAGGAAGTCAGAGAGACAGCGCTGAGAGGAGGGAAGCAGCCGTAATGTGTCACGAGATAGTGATTTCACTTGCCTCGTGGAGACGGGCGATAACACGATTAGGAAGCAGGAGGCCGTCGTTTCACGCTCACACGTCGCATGTTCCAGAGCTTTGTTTTCCAACATACCTCCAGTGCTCCGTGTCATGTGATACTCTCAGAAACACTGCATCGATTTGAACTTAGTTTACATGCAAAGTATCAGAACGGGGATCAGGAGTCAAATGTCTTGGCGGTGTTTTGTTTCAAAAAGACAAAGACATATCTAAAAATATCAGTTTGCTTACAGTGTCACATTTTAAGGGTGTTTGCTCCTTTTTTGTTACAAATGTAAAATACTTTAAGACCTTCTTAATACCTGCTAACCCCAACATACCAGCGCTGCTGCAGACGAATCAAAAGGTCTAAAATGCAGTAAACTGTAAATTGGGAAAACTGACCTAAAAAAGCATGAACATGTAATTGTTCTGGGTTAAAGGCCACGTCTCCAGAACCGCTTTCACACGTTGGTTTTGGGCGAAGCGGAAACCATCATTGTTGTCAGGAAAATACCGTTCAAATAAAACCGGGAAACTGAGTGATTTATTGTTTCCGCTCCTAAAATTCCAGAAGTGTTTGGAAACATTCAGGGTTTGAATATCAAAGTCTGCGAGGCCATATATGTACTTTGTGTACTTTGTGTTTTCTAAATACATTGAAGAAGTACTTGATGAGTGATATTCTTCTCACACTGTACATTTATATTATGTGCAATGCCTTGTTTTTCATGCTGCAAAGCTAACACGTCGCCATTTCGGATCCAAAAAGTCCTTCTGATCGTCGTGTGTCTTATCGTCATGTGTCTTATCATCGTGTATCTTATCATCGTGTATCTTATCATCGTGTGTCTTATCGTCGTGTATCTTATCATCGTGTATCTTATCATCGTGTGTCTTATCATCGTGTATCTTATCGTCGTGTATCTTATCGTCGTTTATCTTATCATCGTGTATCTTATCATCGTGTGTCTTATCGTCGTGTATCTTATCGTCGTTTATCTTATCATCGTGTATCTTATCGTCGTGTATCTTATCGTCGTTTATCTTATCATCGTGTGTCTTATCGTCGTGTATCTTATCGTCGTTTATCTTATCATCGTGTATCTTATCATCGTGTATCTTATCGTCGTGTATCTTATCGTCGTTTATCTTATCATCGTGTATCTTATCATCGTGTGTCTTATCGTCGTGTATCTTATCGTCGTTTATCTTATCATCGTGTATCTTATCATCGTGTGTCTTATCGTCGTGTATCTTATCGTCGTTTATCTTATCATCGTGTATCTTATCGTCGTGTATCTTATCGTCGTTTATCTTATCATCGTGTATCTTATCATCGTGTGTCTTATCGTCGTGTATCTTATCGTCGTTTATCTTATCATCGTGTATCTTATCATCGTGTATCTTATCGTCGTGTATCTTATCGTCGTTTATCTTATCATCGTGTATCTTATCATCGTGTGTCTTATCGTCGTGTATCTTATCGTCGTTTATCTTATCATCGTGTATCTTATCATCGTGTGTCTTATCGTCGTGTATCTTATCATCGTGTATCTTATCATCGTGTGTCTTATCATCGTGTATCATCGTGTATCTTATCATTGTGTGTCTTATCGTCGTGTATCATCGTGTATCTTATCATCGTGTATCTTATCGTCGTGTGTCTTATCATCGTGTGTCTTATCGTCGTGTATCTTATCGTCGTGTATCTTATCGTCGTGTATCTTATCGTCGTGTATCTTATCGCCGTGTATCTTATCGTCGTGTATCTTATCATCGTGTATCATCGTGTATCGTCGTGTATCTTATCGTCGTGCATCGTCTCTACGTTTTGGTCGTTTTCTCCTAAAACTCAACAGCTTGAGACGGAACACAAAGTGCAGCCTGTTCCCAGATCAGAGTTAGGCGAGGTGCGTGCATTTAAAATGGAAAGTGGAAAATCAGCTCACAGCCTCAGAATCACATTACGCACTTTGAAGTCGCTTCATGCGTTTATTTCGGGAACAAGCCTTGATTTGATTCTACATTGAAGGCTACAGTAACTCATGATGATGCTTCGCGTCTCACTGGTTATCATTCAAAACATGTAACAAACGTTGGCTAGGATTCATCTTCCGTATCAATGTCCAACACGGTCTGTGTTTCTTAAGGAACGTGCTCTCCGTGTTCCCTGCTCAGACTCATCTGGATCAGAACTGGATCTTTGGACCTTTAGGGTTATTTAACCGTGAGACTCCCATCAGACCCATTCACTGCTGACTGGGCTGTGTTGTTGGGACTCAGAACAGGACTTTGCAGCCCCAGTTAATCCAAGATTGAACATTTTTGTTTCACGGAAGTTCACATTCTGATGGATTAGGCTCATTTTTCTCTGGATTTGAGCCCATGAGGAAATACTCACACCACACATTTAGATATTCACAATAGGTCAATAACACGATTACCCATACCCAGTGTAAGGATTGAATTCAAGGCTCATGAAAGAAAGGATTGGATATTCATCTTAATATTTGTTTTGATTGGCTTCAGTTGTTTTAATGATGAATTACAAGCTGCTTGGAGTTAGTTTAAGAAAGCAGTCATAATTCCCTGATATCGATTTAATATAACTGTCCCTTTCAAACAACTGGATTTAATCAAGTTCCTCCCAGGAAACCACGCACCACTGTCAGGGGTCAAACGTTGATTCGCTCTCCTGCAGATTACAGACACATTTTCCATGTTACAATATCAGGGTGAAAAACAGGTTGCATTTAGAAGATCTCCCAGGAACTGGTTTCTAAACAGTTTCTATTGATCCCAGGAAAAAAGGATATTGTTAGTCTCGAGCAGTGTTGGGCAAGTTACTTCCAAAATGTAATACAGTACATATTACTTATTACTGTCTCTGAAATGTAATGAGTTACACTACTTTTTAGTTACTTTTGAGTTATGGCTAGGTATTTTAAATGCTGAAATGTGGTTTAGTGCAGCTCATTATGCATCCAGTGAAGGGCGATGTGGTTTAGTGCAGCTCATTATGCATCCAGTGAAGGGCGATGTGGTTTAGCATAACCACTGTGTAGGCCCTTAAGGCTACTAACAACTTGTATTACACGGCTGAGTTGAATACTCCATTCTGATTGTAACTTCTTAACATGTGACACGCTGTTAATCCAGCAGTACAGACCACTATCAAGGACTATGATGAAGGTTGCTAAGGAAGATCCAGAAAGAGAAAGGAAAAGAGGTTAAATAAATCACCAGAAGAATGCAGACAGGAAGTAAACACTAACAGGACAGGGAATGGGCTCTGTAGTGTTTAGTATATATCCGTGTAGCGGGGTCATGTGCAGCGAGGCGCGCCTTATGGGGAAAAGAGCACCTGACATGAGTCTGAAGTACCAGTTCTCAAGTCATCACTACTTTAGAGGGAAACCAGTGCTTGTGAAGCTACTTTTACAAACAAGGATATGTTGAACCTTTACTGCCTAAAGAGAGACTTTCTCGCTGCTTTTCAATATTGTCTTTCCCAGAAAAGCGAGGAAGCATTGAATGAATTCTTTGTGCTTTGTTTCAGCCTCTCATAAACAATGGGCAGGTCTCTGAGGTCTGTGGGAAAGCAGAAAGCTCGATAGCCGAAGTGAATGGTCTCTGTGAGGAGCAGGTTCGTGCAGACGGTAGGTTCTCTTTTACTATTGCTGCACATTACGATGGACACTGTCAGCAGCGTTTTAACAGATGCATTAGTATTTGTTTACAGCTGATAGAGTTTCATCTCAGTCATCAGTCTCGTACAGTTCTTTGCATCCAAGTATTTTAATATTTAATCTCTTTCCTGGTTTAGCTTTCCTTTCACCGGAGAAGGATGATTCAGAAACAGAAAAGCCACTCAAAGAAGAAGATGTAGAAAATGTTGAAATAAGTGAAAAGGAATCGCTTAATGAAGCTGACGAAGAAGAACCTCTGGAAATGATAGCAATGGATGCAAAGCAGAATGACATCAATGAAGGTTTCAGGAGATTTTTCAGCAACATTGGTTTGAAGCTGACGGTAAAGAGTGGCTCAGGTGACGTAGCATCAGACCCGAACAGACCAGAAGACATTGGAGATACAACAATGGAAACCACAAGTGAGAATCCTGAAGAAAAGACTGATCTGAAGATGGCTCAGGAGACGTATGACAATGATTCAACAACATGTCCTACCCTGACTGACGTCTCACCGGAGGACGCTCCACAGAATGCGGAGGAGGAAACACCAGAAACCAAAGAGGAAGCTGAGTCTGATTATGTAGATGCAGAAATGCCTGTAGAAGAAGATTCACAGCAGGAAGCCACGCCTGAAGAAGAACCAGAATCTCCTTCTGGTCCTGAAGAGGCGGAGGTCGTGTCTCCAATTAAAAGATTTTTCACTACTGGAATCTTTTCTGGACTACGAAAGAAAAATAAGCTTCCAGAAGAGGAGACAGCTGACAAAGAACTGGAGGACCTGGGGAAGAAGGAGGTTGTAGAGACGGCAGAACAAACTGAACAAGACCAACACCAGGATAGAGAGGACATTCGTGATGATGTTGAAGCAGCTGCAGTTGAGACAGAACATAAAGAACTGAAAGGGGGTAAGACGCCTGCAGCTCAGATCCCAGATCCTCTGACCGTCATCGTCACTGAGCCTGAAATCCTGAGTTCTCAAGAGAAGGAAAAGGTTCAAGCAAGTCCTCTGAAAAGGCTGTTTTCAGGTTCTAGTTTCAATAAACTACCCAGAAAGCAAAGGAGCAGGAGGTCAAGTGATGCAAGGATGTCTGACTCTGGAGAACATGTTTCTGAGAAAGTCATATCATCGACTGAGTCAGATGACAATCAGAAAGGAGAAGTTCGTGCACAATCGTCTGCAGAAGAGGAGGAAGGTGCATGGGCTTCCTTCAAAAAACTGATGACTCCCAAAAAGCTCAGGAAGAGACCGTCAATTAGTAACGAAGAGACTCAAATCAAATGTTTAGTCGAAGAGTCAAAGGCAGTCGAAGGAGCGCAAATATCAGATCACAGCACAGAAGAAGGCAACAAACGAAAAGACTCTTCTGTTTCATGGGAATCTGTTTTGTGTGGATCTGGAAGGAGAAGAAGCCGTAAAACATCCGACTCTGAGGAGGAAACACCTCAAAACAATAACGATAAAAACAAGCAAGACACTGGATCTAAAGGTGGTGCAGAGTCAGGGCTCGAAAGCTCTCATGAGGAAAGTGTAAGTCCTTCAGAGGCGGATGCAGGGTCCACATGGAAATCGTTGAAAAGACTTGTCACCCCGAAAAGGAAATCAAAGGATGAAGATGAGAGCAAAGACGGAGTACAATCTGATAGTGAGTCTACTCAAGATGAGTCCTCCTTCTCAATAAAGAAACTTCTACCTGGCAGAAAGAAGGGAAGGTCTACCGAAAAGCCAGACCAAGTATCTTCAGACGAGGCGGATAAGGACGTTGCTTCAGAAGATGAAGACTCGGAAACACCAGCTATTGTTCCTTTGTCTGAGTTTGATATAGTTGAGACAGCGGTTCAAATACAAACACAGGCAGACATAGAGAGGCGTATTCCCAAGGAAGCAGACCATGAAGTCCAGCGAGGTCTCCTTGATCAGAAGGCCGAGCCAGTCCTACAGGGGGTCTGTCTGCAAGCTGAAGCAAACAAAGTCCAAGACAAGGAAGATGCTTTAGAGAGCAAGGCGCCTTCAAGTGAAGAATCTGATGATACAGAATCACTCAGTAAACCACAGCTCAGTGACATCGCAGAGGAGGCCACCCCAGCTTCTGTCACAGAGGACGCAGCTAGAGACGACACTATCGCAGAGGACCTGATAGAGATCACATCCGAGGCCTTTACTGCACCAGAGCCTTTGGACATCACCCAGGAGGATGAAACTGAAATGATCTCTGCAGTTTCCCAGTTATCTTCAGAGTCTTCGAAAACATCTGGAAACACGACACCAGTTCCAGCCGAATATGTCGTGAAGGAAACAGATGCACTTCTGTATCAGGTTGTTGAAACCATTTTGATTAGCCCAAAGGAAGTTCCAGTTTGTTCAGATGATGTTAGATCTGATAGAGTGGTTGTTTCCGTCTCACATCAAATAATGGACACAATTGTAAAGAAAGGGCAGACAGTTCTTGAAATACACAAAGGATTAGATGCAACTGACAGTAACCCAGATCTAGATGTAGAAGAACTGGAAGCAGTTGACAAACTTACAGCTAGCGCCCGAACAGAGAGCATATCTGAAGTCAATGACTCTGTTTCCACAGAGATCGTATCTGAAGTTCATACAGAGCAGTTTGATACTGCTGAAATTGCTTTGGATGATGAACATGAGGTTGATGTTACACATCCGGAGCAAAGCCTTAAAGAACTAGAAAGTATTGATGAGATCTATCAGCTGGGGGATTGCCTATCAGCTGCTTCTACAGATATATTCCCTCCAGGTGAAGACATTGTCCTGGAGGAAGGATCTCTCGTTGAGGCACATCTAACTGAAACAGAGCTCCCAAAGAATGACCCTCAAGTAGCAGCTGGAACAGAAGCTGAGGAAACCAGGGATGAGGCTATGGAGCAGGATGTCCAATCTCTGACAGAAAAGGAATATCTTATTCACAATGTCACTGATCAAATTCAGGTTGAGGATAAAGATGAACCACCAGTAGAGGCCAAGGAGAAGCAGGAGTTGGATCCAGAGGAGGGTCGTGTTCAATCCCCTGAAAAGGACATTATATCAGAAGACATACTAGCAGCGGAAACACATGAACACAAAGAGGAAATATTGGCCCTTACTGAGGTCAACGTTGAGCCAGAGAAGGAAGATGAACGAGAAACAGATGCTGCCAGACCTGAACATGTTCAAGAACAGGAAGCATCAGAGGCTCTGCAAACCTCCACATTGACTTCAGAGCAGGGCAGTGATCAATCACCAACAGAGGAAGTACAATCAGAGGACTTTCCTGAAGCAGAACCGGTTACAGATCAACTCAAACAGACAGAAGAGTGTCTCGCTGAAGTCAGTGTTGAGCCAGAAGAACCAAAAGAGGATTTATTACCTCTAACCGAAGGCAATCTTGAGCAAGTTGAGGCTTCCAGAACAGTTGAAGAAGTATTAGAAGCTGAAAAAGCATCTGCATCAGCTTCAGAGGTAGGTAGTCTACTTTCTCTTGAACATGAAGAAATACCAGGGGATGTTTCAGCAGTGGAAGCAGTTACAGATGAACCCAAAGCGGAAACAATACCTTGCACTGGAGACCATCTTGAGCCAGTGGATGCTCCCAAAACCAATGATGAAACACCAGAAGTATTAGAGGTTGCTCAAGCACCTACATTCGAACCGCCAGAGGTCAGTGTTCAATTGCTTGAGAACGACATCATATCAGAGGATGTTCCCGAACCACAGAAAGTTATAGATGAAGCCAACGAGGAGACACTACCTTGCACTGAAGCCAATCTTGAGCCTGCGGTTCCTTCCACAACTCAAAATGTTCAAGAACCAGTAGCATTGGAAGCTGTTGAAGCACCAGCATCAGATTCAGAAGAGGTCACATCAGAGGACGTCTCAGTAGCAGAATCTGAAGTAGAAGATACCAAAACTGAACATGTTTTAGCCCCAGAAAAACTGGAAACAGATCCAGTAGAAGCTGTTCAAGCAGCCATATTAGACTCAGAGGCAGGTAGTCTTCTACCACTGGAGAAAGAAACAGAGGATGTAACAGCTGTAGAAACAGTAACAGATGAGCCCAAAAAGGAAACCATACCTTGCACTGAGGCCCATCTTGAGCCAGGGGATTCTCCTAAAACCAATAATGAAATACCAGAAGTATTAGAGGCTCCTACTGAAGCAAACATTCAGCCAGTAGATGAAGATGTTCAAGAATCAGTAGTATTACCAGCTGTTCCAGTACCCACATTAGATTCAGAGGCAGGCAGTCTTCAACCATTTGAAAAAGAGGTAATATCCGAGGATGTTTCAGGTGAAACTGAAGAGGAAACAATACCTTGCTCTGAAGCCAATGCTCAGCCAGTTGATGCTCCCAAAACAAGTGAAGAACCAGAAGTATTACCAGACATATTAGGTTCGGAAGACGTCATAGAAACAATTCCTCTAAATAAAGACAATACTGAGTCAATGGAAACGCCAGAAACTGAACATGATCAAGACGAAGAAATACTACAAGCTGTTCAAGCATCTAGATCAGATTCAGAGGTGGGAATCCCTCAATGGTTAGTACAGGAGGTTATCTCAGAAGATATTCCAGTAGTGGAAACAGATAAAGATGAACCCAAACAGGACGATGACGTTGAGCCGGAAGAAAGACTACCAGAGGAAGCTGCCATAACTGAACATGTCCAAGAACCAGAAGTACTACCATCTGATTCAGAAGCTATAGTGACTGAAATACAAGCTGATGAAGGAAGACCAATGGATGTGAAGGAGGTCCTAGAAGATATTGAGGGAGGTAATGCTCAGCAGGAGATATTAATAGAAGGCGTTCCAAAACCAGACGTTGACCATGTCATTGCTTCAGTTACAAATGGGATTGAAAGTGAAGTTGTGGCCCAACTGGATACTTCTTTAGAGACGGCAGAGGATCAGAAAACAGAGAGTATCCCACAGGATGTCGTGGTTGAGCAGGATAACTGCGTACCTGAAGTTGTAGACGAGATACAAACATTGACAGCAGTTTCTGTATCCCTTGTTATTGAGGAAACAAGTGTTCAGGTCCTGGAGAATACCGTATTAACCGAACAACTTGCAGCGCTGTTTGAAAACACCGCTAAAGTCACCAATGAACCAAACCATGAAGTGCAGCTCGGTGCAGTGCAAGCCACTGTTCAGACAGAAAAAGAAAGTGAACTTCCAGGCACTGAGACAACAAATGCATTTGAGCGTGCAGTCGTGGCGCAAGTAGTCGTATGCAAAGATGCCTCAGTTGCAATACCTGATGTGTTGGTACAGAAAACCTCAGCTATCCCTGAACCCTCGATCAGTAAAGTGGCAAGTGAGCAAGTGTTCAAGGATGAGTTAGAGACTTCCACACCGTTACTGAAAGATGAAGCAGATGAGAAAGTAGAGGGAGGCAGCGTGGTGGTAATGATGCATGTGCCGTCTGTCGAGTCTGAGGACAATCACAGAATTCAGGTGCAGGTGGTGGACGTTGATGTAAAATCAGCCGAGACAATTCGGGACTCAGTGCTAGAGGTAGAGGTCACAGAAGACAAGGAAGTCATCGATGTTTGTCATGAAACAGTCACAAAGGTAGAGGACTTCTCAGCAACTCCAGAGATTGAAGAGGAACTAACTAACGAGGAACTCAAGGTGACCATTGAAGAAGTTGTTCCACACGTAAAGGAAAACTTACCAGAACCTGAATCAGTGGTGGAACAAGAAGGAGAAGCTGTCAAAGAAGTGGTTCAAGGGGAAGTTGAGAAACAGGATTTGGAGGAAACTAAAGTTGAGCAGGAAAGATGCAAAGCAGGGGTTGTAGTAGAAGAGGTCAAATTGGATCAAATCATTCGTGAGGAAGCTCAAATGATCCAGAGTCCGACTGTAACACATGGTAACGCTGGAATAGCTACCCCACACAACACTGGGATCATCTCGTCAACAAGTAACGTCATTGAATCTCCTTCAAGTGTTTCCATTGAATTCAAACTCAACATACGGTACGGACGAGCGAGTTCTCAAGCTCCAGACGTGTCGGAGGTCGGAGTTCAGGCAGTGGAGGAACCTGTGAATCAAATACAAAGAGATGAGAGCGAGATACAGATAAAAGAGAGAGCTGTTCAGGCAACAGAAATCCCAGAGCCAGCGGCAGCCTCAGATTCAACAGAACGAGCCGTCGTCACGACTCCTCCTGTCCTCCTGGATATCCACATCCAAGCGCTGGGAGAAATCAAACCACCGGAGAGAGAGACCTCTAGTGTCCCGGCGGCAGACACCATACAACCTGTGAAGCAAACGGAGACAAGAGGAGAGCCGGTTATCTCTGTAGCTTCTGCCCAACAAGTGGAGGAGCCAGTCAAAGCAAAGGAGGAGGAACATGAGCAGGATGTGTGGATGGATGCGGAGGAAGACATTCGGGAGGAAACCGAGGTGCCCCGTAAAGAGGAGGAGGACTTTCTGGAGCCTTGCAAAGGAGACGAGGAAGAGGAGAAGGCAGGACTTGAGTTACAAATGGCTCCTAATGGAAAGACGGAGGAGGAAGAACGTCCTCTGGAAACGCACAAAACAGTTGAGGTGGAGAGTGATGAAGACTTTGCTGTTGCACTCGAGAGTCCTGACCCCGAAACTGTGAGCGTCACCACGATGTAGTGCAACTGATTTCGCCTAACTTCAGCGTCAGTAACCAGGTGAGCCTCTCTTTTTAAACATTTACACCGTTGTAGTTTTTTTTACTGTACCTTTTGAAACTCTTGAAACGCACAATTAGCAAAATCAGAAATTCTTCATTTTCATGCAAATCCAACTCCAATTAAAAACCTTTATCTACAAATAAAGCAAATCAGACTCAATATCACATAAATCTATATATATTTTTTATATAAAGTAATAAAGTAAACGCAAACATTTCCCAAATTGGGATCAAGTACCTATCGCTCGATCTATCTAGTTGTCTATTAAGTCAAATCAGAGCACAACAGCATTACTACATTACTTTTGCATATTTCATTCAACTTTAATAAAATACACAATAAGAAATACTTTATTGCTTTTCCCTGCTGTAGGTTTTGTGTGCATGTAAATGGTCTGCTAAGGCACAAATCCAAAAGTGAAATGATCCTTTTATGGTTATGTTTTAAGTGTAAACCATTGGGTTTTATATCTGGCATTTTGCCGCGTGCAAGCATTGGAACGAGAGACAGGAAAGACCTAATTTTGACAAAAGTATAAAATAATTGTAAAAAAAGACTGAAAGCATTACACTTAATGCAATGTCAAACTGAGTTGAAATCCCATGCTCCTCTTACCTCTCTCTGCAGGGTGGACAATCAAAGAGGAGACGTTTTCAAAAAGCCTTTGAAGAGTTTCACCGGCAGAAAAACAGGAAACTGCATTTTGATGCTTTTATTGACATCCAAAAATCTAAGTTTGTATGTAAGAGTATTTTATCAATATGAATATCATATAAGTGTGTGATTAAACAGAGAAGAGCTGCAGAGTGCTCGCAGTGAGTTTTATTACTAATCCTGTCTTTCTAATTCTATAAATCATGTTTTTGCAGATGTATCAGATGAATGTATGTCTCACTTTAGCGCTTTAAATACATTAAAGGTGGGGTAGGTAGTTCACTTCAGAAACACTTGTTATATTCCATGGAATGCTCTTAACGCCCCGATAGCAATGAATATCTGAAGTGCTTTCACAATAAATACATTTTTAAAAATGCCATCTGTGGAAGCCGTGGCGCTGTAAAAAGCACGACCAATCATCTGCCTCGGCCCGGGACAGATGATTGGATGGCCTACCTGCCTGTCAGCCTTCCGTCTCGTGCACAAACTGATCTCGTGCCCTCATTGGTCATGTGCGCGTTCGTGAGGGGCTCTGTGAGGAAGGGGCAGATTCTTTCCGGCTGTGTATTTTCAGATTCTGGCGCACTCCAGCTGGTTTCTCCGTTCTTCCCTACCCCACCTTTCAGTTTTAATAAAAACATTAATAAATGTTCCAGGACAAATCAGAGTATAGCAGTGTGTCAGTATATGTAGATATACACCTTAAATATGTATCATTTGTGTTCATAAAGTTTAAAAATCTATTAAAGACATGAATGTGATTTCTGCAGCATACTGTATATTATCTTGTACATAATGACTGTTTTAATGTTTTCAAATCCTTTTTAATCTTCAACTATTTCTACTGTGAGCACGACGAGGGCATGGCACAGCTTTGCTATTGAATATCTATTATTTACACAACTTAATGAATGACATTATAATCAGCCAAGCCTTAAACTCTGATGGCAGCTTGACCTCCCAGCTGTGTGTAACCTTCTCTGCTGATCTGTGACTAATCAAACCTCATTATAAAGGGTTTATATTAACATATAAGTGTTTTATGAATAAAATATGACTTTATTTGAATAAATCCATTGCTCTATATTTCGACTTCCTCTTGTTTTGCTTTTTTTTCTTGGACATGGAAACTTTTGGTGATCATAAGTTAGCTTAAGATATTCTACTTAAGTCAAAGTAAGATCATGGCCAGATATTTACATCATTCATGGATCTTTAGAATATTATTTCATGCAAACATTTCAGAAAATGCAGGTTTTACCCTTTAAATATTGAGATGTCATGCTTTGAATCAGTTTATATCACATACAGTAGATATATTTGACAAAACAAGTCATTTCAACACTGGAGAATAAGTGGGACACATTTAAAACACTTTATTGCATCCTTTACAACACACAGCACTTGAGCAAAAATAAATTAAAATATAAATCATTGCATATTCGATCTACTTGTTTCTACCAATCCCAGGAGTAACTGACGCGTCGACAGAAACTGCAAAACGACGCCAGAAGAGATTCGTGAGTTTCCATGAAGCACCTTGTCTCCAGCAATGCTCTTCAAGAGGAAAGGTGTGTGTGTGTGTGTGTGTGTGTGTGTGTGTGTGTGTGTGTGTGTGTTGAAGTGTTTATACTAAGCAGCAGGAACAGTAAGACATTAAAAATGTTCACGTCCACTTCTCGATTTCATTCCTTCCAGGAAAAATTAATCCAGAAATCATCTTTAGGGTCACTGAGAAGAAATACCTCCTCAGGTGACTCTCCTCAGGTAATTCAGGTGACTCTCCTCAGGTGACTCTCCTCAGGTGATTCAGGTGACTCTCCTCAGGTGATTCAGGTGACTCTCCTCAGGTGACTCTCCTCAGGTGATTCTCCTCAGGTGATTAAGGTGATTCTCCTCAGGTGACTCTCCTCAGGTGATTCTCCTCAGGTGATTCTCCTCAGGTGACTCTCCTCAGGTGACTCTCCTCAGGTGACACTCCTCAGGTGACACTCCTCAGGTGACTCTCCTCAGGTGACTCTCCTCAGGTGACTCTCCTCAGGTGACTCTCCTCAGGTGATTAAGGTGATTCTCCTCAGGTGATTCAGGTGACTCTCCTCAGGTGACTCTCCTCAGGTGACTCTCCTCAGGTGACTCTCCTCAGGTGACTCTCCTCAGGTGACTCTCCTCAGGTGACACTCCTCAGGTGACTCTCCTCAGGTGACTCTCCTCAGGTGACTCTCCTCAGGTGACACTCCTCAGGTGACTCTCCTCAGGTGACTCTCCTCAGGTGACTCTCCTCAGGTGACTCTCCTCAGGTGATTAAGGTGATTCTCCTCAGGTGATTCAGGTGACTCTCCTCAGGTGACTCTCCTCAGGTGACTCTCCTCAGGTGATTCAGGTGATTCAGGTGACTCTCCTCAGGTGACTCTCCTCAGGTGACTCTCCTCAGGTGATTCAGGTGACTCTCCTCAGGTGATTCTCCTCAGGTGACTCTCCTCAGGTGACTCCTCAGGTGACTCTCCTCAGGTGACGTGATTCAGGTGACTCTCCTCAGGTGACTCTCCTCAGGTGACTCTCCTCAGGTGACTCTCCTCAGGTGACTCTCCTCAGGTGACTCTCCTCAGGTGATTCAGGTGACTCTCCTCAGGTGATTCAGGTGACTCTCCTCAGGTGATTCTCCTCAGGTGATTAAGGTGATTCTCCTAAGGTGACTCTCCTCAGGTGATTCTCCTCAGGTGATTCTCCTCAGGTGACACTCCTCAGGTGACACTCCTCAGGTGACTCTCCTCAGGTGATTAAGGTGATTCTCCTCAGGTGATTCTCCTCAGGTGACTCTCCTCAGGTGATTCAGGTGACTCTCCTCAGGTGATTCTCCTCAGGTGACTCCTCAGGTGACTCTCCTCAGGTGACTCTCCTCAGGTGATTCAGGTGACTCTCCTCAGGTGATTCTCCTCAGGTGACTCTCCTCAGGTGATTCTCCTCAGGTGACTCTCCTCAGGTGATTCAGGTGACTCTCCTCAGGTGATTCTCCTCAGGTGATTAAGGTGACTCTCCTCAGGTGACTCTCCTCAGGTGATTCAGGTGACTCTCCTCAGGTGACTCTCCTCAGGTGACTCTCCTCAGGTGATTCTCCTCAGGTGATTCTCCTCAGGTGATTCTCCTCAGGTGATTAAGGTGACTCTCCTCAGGTGACTCTCCTCAGGTGATTAAGGTGACTCTCCTCAGGTGAAGAGATTCGTGAGTTTCCATGAAGCACCTTGTCTCCAGCAATGCTCTTCAAGAGGAAAGGTGTGTGTGTGTGTGTGTGTGTGTGTGTGTGTGTGTGTGTGTGTGTGTGTGTGTGTGTGTGTGTGTGTGTGTGTTGAAGTGTTTATACTAAGCAGCAGGAACAGTAAGACATTAAAAATGTTCACGTCCACTTCTCGATTTCATTCCTTCCAGGAAAAATTAATCCAGAAATCATCTTTAGGGTCACTGAGAAGAAATACCTCCTCAGGTGACTCTCCTCAGGTGATTCAGGTGACTCTCCTCAGGTGACTCTCCTCAGGTGATTCAGGTGACTCTCCTCAGGTGACTCTCCTCAGGTGACTCTCCTCAGGTGACTCTCCTCAGGTGATTCAGGTGACTCTCCTCAGGTGATTCTCCTCAGGTGACTCTCCTCAGGTGACTCTCCTCAGGTGACTCTCCTCAGGTGACTCTCCTCAGGTGACTCTCCTCAGGTGATTCAGGTGACTCTCCTCAGGTGATTCTCCTCAGGTGATTAAGGTGACTCTCCTCAGGTGACTCTCCTCAGGTGACTCTCCTCAGGTGACTCTCCTCAGGTGACTCTCCTCAGGTGATTCTCCTCAGGTGATTCTCCTCAGGTGACTCTCCTCAGATGACTCTCCTCAGGTGACTCAGGTGACTCTCCTCAGGTGACTCTCCTCAGGTGATTCAGGTGACTCTCCTCAGGTGATTCTCCTCAGGTGACTCTCCTCAGGTGATTCAGGTGACTCTCCTCAGGTGATTCTCCTCAGGTGACTCTCCTCAGGTGACTCTCCTCAGGTGATTCAGGTGACTCTCCTCAGGTGATTCTCCTCAGGTGATTAAGGTGACTCTCCTCAGGTGACTCTCCTCAGGTGATTCAGGTGACTCTCCTCAGGTGACTCTCCTCAGGTGATTCAGGTGACTCTCCTCAGGTGATTCTCCTCAGGTGACTCTCCTCAGGTGATTCAGGTGACTCTCCTCAGGTGATTCTCCTCAGGTGACTCTCCTCAGGTGACTCTCCTCAGGTGACTCTCCTCAGGTGATTCAGGTGACTCTCCTCGGGTGATTCTCCTCAGGTGATTAAGGTGACTCTCCTCAGGTGACTCTCCTCAGGTGATTCAGGTGACTCTCCTCAGGTGACTCTCCTCAGGTGATTCTCCTCAGGTGATTCTCCTCAGGTGATTCTCCTCAGGTGATTCTCCTCAGGTGATTAAGGTGACTCTCCTCAGGTGACTCTCCTCAGGTGATTAAGGTGACTCTCCTCAGGTGACTCTCCTCAGGTGATTCAGGTGACTCTCCTCAGGTGATTCAGGTGACTCTCCTCAGGTGATTCAGGTGACTCTCCTCAGGTGATTCAGGTGATTCTCCTCAGGTGATTCAGGTGACTCTCCTCAGGTGACTCTCCTCAGGTGATTCAGGTGACTCTCCTCAGGTGACTCTCCTCAGGTGACTCTCCTCAGGTGACTCTCCTCAGGTGACTCTCCTCAGGTGACTCTCCTCAGGTGACTCTCCTCAGGTGATTCAGGTGATTCTCCTCAGGTGATTCAGGTGACTCTCCTCAGGTGACTCTCCTCAGGTGATTCTCCTCAGGTGACTCTCCTCAGGTGACTCTCCTCAGGTGACTCTCCTCAGGTGACTCTCCTCAGGTGACTCTCCTCAGGTGACTCTCCTCAGGTGACTCTCCTCAGGTGATTCTCCTCAGGTGATTAAGGTGACTCTCCTCAGGTGAATCTCCTCAGGTGATTCTCCTCAGGTGATTCAGGTGACTCTCCTCAGGTGATTCAGGTGACTCTCCTCAGGTGACTCTCCTCAGATCCGGAGCAGCTCAGAAGATCATTTTTGAAACTTCAAACAATACCTGCAAGAAAACCAGAAACATATTTTATGATCTAACTTTAAGGAGATTCTGCTTTTTGTGGTGTTAAGATAATACATTGGGGATTGATAAGATGTTCCTTAAAAAATTATATATATTTATGAAACGGACAAGTCAATTCAAGCAATCTGATTGGTTCTTAGCCGTGATATAATGAGCGTATACCACGGGTAGAATTGTAGTTACTTTTCACAACAAGTCAGTATTCCTCCGCGTCTGAGAAAAGCTACCGTTACAGCTGCTATGTTACGTCCGTTAGGAAACTAACTAACAAAGCTTGAGATGGAAGCATGTAGGGGATGATGTGCAGCAAGGACTTATTGACCGTTGTTAAGGACGCTCACATCTGCAGAAAGAAGTCCGGTCGATTTAACTGTATACAGTTGGGCTGAAAAGCAAACAGCATGTAGTTTGCTTTTCAGACTGGAACAAGAAAGCAGCGGAGAAGTAACGGGCAGAAACCTTCCTTGTTACGCAGCGGTCCAGACATAGACATCAAACGGCGACACATATTCAGGGTGCAGTTCCTTTGGCATTAGGGCAGGGATATCTAGATACTTCCCAAGGTCTGACATCATGAACTGTGCTGCTTTTAAAGCAAGCAACGATGTTTTCAAATCTGTAATCAAAAACGCTATCGACCAATCAGATTGCTTGATTTGACTTGTCCGTTTGAGAAGCACTGGCCTAGAACAACCTCAACCTATCCAAGTGACCTCATAAGCCATGCTGCTGATGCTGGACAGGTTTTCAGTGGCTGCACAATAAACAGCAACAAACACATGAATGTGAATAAAGAGCCAGATAATGGATCAACGCTCTCTGTCTGATGTGTTCGCTAGCTGTTAGAGTTGTTGCCTAGCAACCACCTCGCACTATGTTTCGTGCAGAAGGCAACGGAGGGACTATTTTATTTTGAACATCATTATTTACTAATAAAAACTATTTAAATTAGTGTGTATTTTTCTTTCATATTGCCACACTTGGTAACCGTTTTATAAAAGCAATAGCTCACTTCAGGCCGTGATATATGCTCATTATATCACAGCTAAGGGGGTTGAACCACGCCCCCTTAGCTGTGATATACTGAGCAGATACCACGCCCCCTTAGCTGTGATATACTGAGCAGATACCACGCCCCCTTAGCTGTGATATACTGAGCAGATACCACGCCCCCTTAGCTGTGATATACTGAGCAGATACCACGGCCCCTAGCTGTGATATACTGAGCCGATACCACGCCCCCTAGCTGTGATATACTGAGCGTATACCACGGCCCTTAGCTGTGATATACTGAGCAGATACCACGGCCCTTAGCTGTGATATACTGAGCATATACCACGGCCCTTAGCTGTGATATACTGACCATATACCACGCCCCTTAGCTGTGATATACTGAGCATATACCACGGCCCTTAGCTGTGATATACTGACCATATACCACGCCCCCTAGCTGTGATATACTGACCATATACCACGCCCCCTAGCTGTGATATACTGAGCATATACCACGCCCCCTAGCTGTGATATACTGACCATATACCACGCCCCCTAGCTGTGATATAATGACCATATACCACGGCCCTTAGCTGTGATATACTGAGCAGATACCACGGCCCTTAGCTGTGATATAATGACCATATACCACGCCCCTTAGCTGTGATATACTGAGCAGATACCACGGCCCTTAGCTGTGATATACTGAGCAGATACCACGCCCCCTAGCTGTGATATACTGAGCGTATACCACGGCCCTTAGCTGTGATATACTGAGCAGATACCACGGCCCTTAGCTGTGATATACTGAGCGTATACCACGCCCCTTAGCTGTGATATACTGAGCAGATACCACGGCCCCTAGCTGTGATATACTGAGCATATACCACGGCCCTTAGCTGTGATATACTGAGCAGATACCACGCCCCTTAGCTGTGATATACTGAGCAGATACCACGGCCCTTAGCTGTGATATACTGAGCGTATACCACGCCCCTTAGCTGTGATATACTGAGCAGATACCACGCCCCCTAGCTGTGATATAATGACCATATACCACGGCCCCTAGCTGTGATATACTGAGCATATACCACGGCCCTTAGCTGTGATATACTGAGCATATACCACGCCCCTTAGCTGTGATATACTGAGCATATACCACGGCCCTTAGCTGTGATATACTGAGCGTATACCACGCCCCTTAGCTGTGATATACTGAGCAGATACCACGGCCCCTAGCTGTGATATACTGAGCGTATACCACGCCCTTAGCTGTGATATACTGAGCAGATACCACGCCCCCTAGCAGTGATATACTGAGCATATACCACGGCCCTTAGCTGTGATATACTGAGCATATACCACGGCCCCTAGCTGTGATATACTGAGCAGATACCACGGCCCCTAGCTGTGATATACTGAGCGTATACCACGCCCCTTAGCTGTGATATACTGAGCAGATACCACGCCCCCTAGCTGTGATATACTGAGCATATACCACGGCCCTTAGCTGTGATATACTGAGCGTATACCACGCCCCTTAGCTGTGATATACTGAGCATATACCACGGCCCTTAGCTGTGATATACTGACCATATACCACGCCCCCTAGCTGTGATATACTGAGCATATACCACGGCCCTTAGCTGTGATATACTGACCATATACCACGGCCCCTAGCTGTGATATACTGACCATATACCACGGCCCCTAGCTGTGATATACTGACCATATACCACGGCCCTTAGCTGTGATATACTGAGCATATATCACGCCCCCTAGCTGTGATATACTGAGCATATACCACGGCCCTTAGCTGTGATATACTGAGCGTATACCACGCCCCTTAGCTGTGATATACTGAGCAGATACCACGGCCGTCGTTCAATATATTCATGAACAACCTGCATACATTCACTATCTTTAACCAACAAATGTTTCTTCTCAATTCTTCATGGATAAAACATTCTAAAAAATAAAGAAATGCTCCAATGAAATAAAGGTGATGCGTCGGGTTAGGCTTGCTGTCTTCATTTCTCACAATTACCAAATCAATTTTCATTAACTGCAGGAAGTCGGGGAATAAATGAAGCTCTTCATGGACAGCTCATTCTGGACACGGGTTATTTTTAGTTTGCATGAGCTAAAAGTCCCAAATTAAATAGTGAATGAATGCTTGTACACAAACTAAAATCATGTAAAATTGTTATACATTTACAAGTCATCCATCCTCATCATGCAGAGCAGGGCGCCCCCTGCTGGACGACCAATGGCCTTAGTGAGGGAGACATGTTGATCAAACACAACCTTCATATTGAGAGACGAGCGGATGAAGATCAGATCTACTTTCTCTCTTTCTTCCCTTTCCCTCTGAATATAGGTATTATTAATAATTGGGGGTTTGTTTGTTTCGCTCACCTCGATGGTGATGAGGATGATGATCATCCACTCCAGCCTCAGACTGTGTTTCTCACTCAGGTGACTCCTCATCAGGTCGGTCAGCTGAGAGCAGTGCTCCAGCTTCTGGTTCACCACCTGCATACACAGCATATTATACATATACAGTATATTATACAGTATATATACAGTGTGTGTATATATATACAGTATATTATACAGTATATATACAGTGTGTGTATATATATATATACAGTATATACAGTATATTATACATTATAAAACGGACAAGTCAAATCAAGCAATCTGATTGGTTCTTACCCGTGATATACTGTGTATACCACGGGTAGAATTGTAAATTACTTTTCACAACAAGTCAGTATCCCTCCGCGTCTGAGAAAAACAGTATACGGTTGGGCTGAAAAGCAAACTGCCTGCAGTTTGCTTTTCAGACTGGAACAAGAAAGCAGCGGAGAAGCAACGGGGCAGAAACCCTCCTTGTTACGCAGCGGTCCAGACATAGACATCAAACGGCGACACATATTCAGTGTGCAGTTCCTTTGGCATTAGGGCAGGGATATCTAGATACTTCCCAAGGTCTGACATCATGAGTTGTGCTACTTTTAAAGCAAGCAGCGATGTTTTCAAATCTGTAATCAAAGAGGTCCGCAAAAACACTATCGACCAATCAGATTGCTTGATTTGACTTGTCAGTTTTATAAATAAAACCGCTTTGCGCGGGCCGAACCCTTAGCTGTGATATAATGAGCATATACCATGGCCTGTCATGAGCTATTGCTTAAGTATATATCCAGCAGGGGTGTCCAAAGTGTTTTCACGAGGGCCACACCAGAGACACAAAGGGCCGCCCCCCAGAGGCCAATCAAAGTAAGTAAATGATGCTCGATACAACCGCCTTCATCACAGCTCTCCAGAGGTTGACTTTGTTTTGTTAGCAGCTCATTGTTTAAAACAGAAAA